AACCAGACTCAATTTTTTAGAAGTTAAGACTCAACTTTCTAAAACAAATTACTAAGAACTAAAATAATTCTATCACCACAATTCTATGCTATCTCTTAGCAATTCCGCGAGCAAATACATGCACTTTACAAATCGCTGTATGCCCAACGCCCCACAGACAAAGAACTGCGCAGTTAACCGAGAGAATCGAACGACTCGATCTTCCACTGGAGGAGGGTCATGGGCGGATCCAGAGGGTGGGTCCAGGGGGTCCGGACCCCCCCTTTTTTACCCCCAAAAAGGGAAAAAATCGAAAACATATAAAAGATCACCTAAATATATAAAAGATATAAAAGATCACGAAAAGATATAAAACATATCCACCAAACCCCCTCCCCCCTAGGTCGCAAACGTGCCTTAGACACGCCGCATTAACTGTCTTCGGCACCTTTTTAAAACACCAGAAAAATTAAGCAGGAAAAAGTGCCCTTTATTTCTTACTGGACCCCCCCTTTTTCAAAAAGCTGGATGCGCCCATGAGGGTTGCACAGCGGCGTACCTGTGAGAGTAGTAGAACCCCACCTCCTCCATCAGCACACACACGAGCATCTCAAAGAGAACCCACTGGAAGGTGGGCAGCTCTCGGCCATAGCTGAAGCCTCTTAGCTTCATCAGATGGAAGAGGACGATGAAGACAGGTCCTGCGATGACAGTCTGATTGAAGAGCACACGGCCAATAGCAGAGAGAAGCCTTTTCTTCTCAACCTGGAAGTGAGTATTACGGATCAGTCGCATAGTGATATAAGGAATAGAATTTTCACGGCAACGCCTTAACTACGTAATTTTGCATACGTAATCTACTGCAAGTTCTGTAGACAACCAGGCTTATGAAGCAGTGGTAACATTAGGAGGAAATCTTTGTAGCTGATAACTCACTGGGGCGTTCTTTTCCGGCTGAATCTTGTAACGTAGAAGGAACTCTGGTTTGCCAGTTAGGTCAAGAATAATCAGAAGAATGTTGGCTGTCCAAAAGATTGTCATCGTCCACACAAAAGTTCCTGAAACATTGGCCAGGCAATATATATATCTATATATATAAAGTCAAGAGCGTATACAGTAGGAGAGCGTACAACGGTAAAATGGTGAAACCATGTTGCAGTATTAGTCGAATGAAAAACTCTGCTCGTTTTATTTTGACAATTCTTTGCAGTATTATTGATCAGCTGTCCTACCTTGTTAATATAAAATAAACCACTTGTCGCTACGATGCTCCTATGCTGAGATAATGAGCGGTGAAAATCTGGTATTTTCGCCGAAAACCGACTCGAGAGCAGTGTTTACTGCGACTGTCTCTTGCTTTGTGGCCAGTGTATTGCTTCCGGTCACCACTGTGTAGCGCCATGGTAGCGCTGACTCACGTCAGCACTACAGAGATTATTATACATCCAGCGTGAGGTGGGCACAGGTGGGGGTCATCACTATGGCAATCAATAACAGACGTCATTCATTCCATTTGTCAATCATTAACGGAAACACGCGAGGTTTCCCGAAGTTATCTCAAAGCGAGAGACAGTCGCAGTAAACACTGATCATGAGTCGGTTTTCGCCAAAAATACCAGATTTCCACCGCTCATTATCTCAGCGTAGGGGCATCGTAGGGACATGCGGTTTGTTTTATATTAACAAGGTAGGCCAGCTGATCAATAATACTGCAAAGAATCGTCAAAATAAAACGGGGAAAGTTTATTAATTCGACTAATACTGCAACATCGTTTCAGCATTTCACCATTGTACGCTCTCCTTCTTTATACGCTCTTGATAAAGTTGTTCAGCTGACTTTGTGTGTACTCGTGCAACTAGAGAACTACGTAGCCTAGCGGAAAACTGAAGATATATTCAGAATCACCACGTCTGGGAGATGGTTCTGGCTGAAAGTGAAACTAACATTTAAAAAAGTTAAAAAGTCAAAAATTAAAAATTAAATTCTATTTGTCAATAGATGGTGGTGTGTACAGCCTAACATCTCGAACGTGTTAATCATGCTCTGTAACCATAACGCCCCAGTAGCCGAATGGATCAAGCATCGGACTCCTAAACCATTGATTCTGGGTTCAAATCCCACTTTGGGAAATTCTTTACTTTTGGACTGTTTAGCATGTACTTCTGCCACTTCCCCCTTAATTTCAAATTTTTTTACTACATTTAAACGTTTAGTAAAAATCCAGAATAAACTTAATAACGGGTTAATAACACATACATGACTGCATTGCAAACAACGAAATAGTCTAATAAACACCCCTCTTTGCCTAATACCATCACCCCATGCGTTACTGTAAATGTGCAGTCATTTACAAGTGACCTTATGAATCATTAGATTAAAGCCTGAGGACAATGCCGCTTCAGCAAAATAAAGCGAAACGCCAATAAGTGCCGATTGTAAAGTCCAGGAAAACATTTATTATTATACATATCTAGTTATCTACTATAAAACCACGTTTATTCTAGTGTGATGTACGAACATTTCACTATTTTTCCAGGTTCTCTTTTACTCATGATATCGGTCGTGCCCACACATACAATTCACTGTGTTATGCAACGTTATTGGAAAGTATTTCTCGCCTGGACACGAACTAGATATAATTACAAGTGTGAACGAGGAAGCAAACCCGTGAACATCGCTACACATCGCTATGCATCGCTATGCATCGCTATGCATCGCTATGCATTGCTAGGCATGCTATGCACGATGTAACACCAGCTGTAGCCACACCCAACTCACCTATGAGTGTTAGCCTGTACTCATCGCCCTCAAACCAATCATATATCCTGCCACTGGCCTTGCCAGAAGTCACCTGAAGCTCCCAGCACTGCTGCAGATGCCTGCAAATTTATATATCAAGTTTAAATTTGATGTCAATTCGATCACCTACTAGCCGAATGTAGGCTTTTTTCATTTCTAAAAAAAGTCTGCGGCTGGTAACGAATCATCGGAGTCTTCGGACTGACGTCAACTTTAATATTAAACGTGACATCTCATCATCACGCATTTTCAAATAATAAAATCAGACAAAATACATTTTCAGCCAATTTTTACTGCAGTGCAGTTCCTCAACGAATTTGGTTACATTCCCAAACTTACCAGGTCACAGAGTTCCTGAAAGCCACTAGAACGACGAAGGAAGTTGCCTATCACAAAGAAATCTTGCGGATTGAGTCTATGAAGCGAGACGGCGAGGTGCTCTGGCGTGGAGGAAGGGAGGTTCTCAGATTTCTCCTCTCGCTACTTCCAGACTCCCCATTGGGGTGCAGGTTGGCTCACACTCAGTCATCTTGCCACGCAGATATTCACAGCTGTAGTTATGTCCTGCGTGAGAATACGAGACATACACACGTACGTGATATCGTGGAACTTGCGGATTCCTTCTGCACGGCTCGAGAAACGAAAGGCAAGTGACTTACGCTTGACGAAGTCCAACCTTATGGCTAAACTGTGACGCTCACTTGTCCAGTCTATATAAATAGACATTGTGCTGTCACGAATCAACAGTAAATTTTGTCTTTGATGTTGTGATGTTCTAAATCATGTTATCATAAACTGCCAGATATGTGAACTGGGTGCATGATATTTTTATCTAGAGCTCGTTGCTGCGCAATTGATAATCTCATGTGGCTATCAAGGACACTAATAAACTGTAGTGGATAAATGACATCAGCGAATCATACATTAACATATAAATTTAACACCGGCACGCTAGTGAGAAAACAATATGGGAAGAAAGTGGATAGAAACTTAGTGCACAGCGTGTAAGTCACATTTCATTGATGCAGCGTTTACAAGCCAGTAAACTATGCCATTCTCATTCCTCATTATGAAACTAAGATGGCGCTGAAATGTCTGGAAATAACCTGTATCATCGTGCGTCACACGGCGTGTTTATCTTCAAATATACTAGATAACATATGGACATTTGGGCACTATTCACCCTGGTATGGGCACCTGAGTTCACGCCCTAGTGTCTCTATAACATTAACGAACAATGATTTTATTTCAGCTTCGACTGAGAAAAAGGCCTCTGTAAGCTAATCGTCTGTGGTGCTGCGTTTATATCAGTTTAATATATCAGATTTTTTACAAGTACATACTGACAAGCGGTGTGGAGGTTTCATAAAAACTTTTGGTTTTGTCGTACTCTACCAATAAAACCCTTTATCCATTAGTATTATCCACTAAAGTTGTTATTTTGTTTTGCCTGGTCCAAATTTCTTCATTAATTTTACTTTCCGTCTTTGTTTTTTGTTTGCTATCTCGCATATCGGAGTGCGAAGTTTATTTGAAGCAAAAACAACAACAACGAAAAAGCATGTTAAGCTGTCACATCATGAAAACTAGTAGTTACGTAACATAGAATTGTTAATGGACTGCCTAGACTTTGATATCAAACTGCTATATTATTCTCGGTGTTATACAGGTGGAAAACTTGTTGGGTTAAGCGAACTATAACTTATATTGCGACTCAGGGTTTCCACAGGATTTTAGAAGCATTTCGTAATAATAGATGGAAGCGGAGCCGCACGGGGGCGTTGTACCAATTACAGCCAATCACATTACTATTATAAGGTCCCCAATACACAGGCTAAACTCAATCAGTTGATGAGCAAATACGTGAAGCTGTGAAATACTGCATGACTTGCCTTGGGATGTCAAACAGTAAACAGCTGCTGGAAATGACAGACGTCAATTAGCAATTAATGCCGCATTGACAGACAGTAAGCTGGAGGGGTGGTGTGCCAAAAATAACTATCAGGCGCTCTGAAGGCTGTCACTGTCACACTCGACATATGCTTAAAAGCCTTTAGTGAGAAACCGGTGACTACTAGTCCTCAATGACATTGCTCGGATTGTCGCTATAAATACAATCCTTTGAATCTCCGCACTCTTTATCTGTGACACCATGGATGCAACTCAGTTGCAGATTCTGTATATATGCAGAGCATTCCGAAAGGCGACACTGGTGCAGCTAATAAATACTATGCATACCTTTAGCTACAGTGGCTCTCATCATGGCTCACTAACATGAAACTTTCTTCAACTTCGCAGCCCGAGGCAGCTGTGATAAACGTCTGACACGCAATATAGCTATTTAAATTACCTTCTCGGCTTCTATTATGTGGCAGTCGTAGAGCCTACATGCCAACAATACATCTTGCAATACATGACATCGCATGATGAGGCAAACTACTCCTTACTCCAGAACAACTGAAATAGAATCACAAAACTACTAGTACAACTGAGACTTTTGGACTTTGACTTGCAAACACATTCTCACAGGCACTTGGGGCATCTCAATAATAAGATTATACCGAATAAACAGCATTGCATAAATTACTAAACAAAACTTTTAATGCTTTATTTACTGTTTTTCACCTAAAAATCCATGCAAATTGCTGTTCAACATTAGTTACTGAGTGCACTAAAGTGACCAACACGCATTCGAGTACAAACATTTAAAAAAGAGATATATATAGTCTCCTTTCTTGTTTTTGTCAGTTTGTGCCCAGTGCCAAAGCTTAGCTGTGTCACTATGTCATGATTAATAGCCAATAAATTGTGCCATAAAATTTATATAACCTTATGATATTTTGGGCCGAAAATATCACGAATTATAATAAATGTTAGGACACAATTTATTGGTCCATATCATGTGAAGGCTGATGCCAGATTATGGCCCACATCACTGATAGCCAAGGTAAGTCTAGCCTCGATATACCGTCATACAAGATTAGTCTTCTAAGTCCAGGGGGCCTTAGATGACACAGAAGAGACAAAATTCATCAAAATAGACAGATCAACACTACAGCGACCACAGAAGTAGAAAAAGCTTACATTTGCACATTAACCTAAAGAGGAGTAACAGAGAATTACAAAATGGAATGACAAAACCGAAGAAGGTCTAAAACATTTAAGGAATCCTTTGAAATGGTACATGTCAGAAGCAAGTGATTCACGCTCAGTATGATGCGCAGTGCTAGGAATAGGCCCTCATTAACAAGTACAGAGGGAATGCAATCTTACTGACCATGATAACTTTTATGAAGGGTTAAAGCTTTAGCAGAGAGAGAGAGCGCACATAAAGGAAGAGGCGCACCAATAGATCTGAATCCAAAAACACCTCTTTATGCTGACGGCAGATAGATGTGAATTGCCTAACTTGGAGCAGTTCTAAAGATGGCCTATTAGGTGTGCCAGCCTAGCGAAGCATATTCTATTATGGTGAGATAATATAGTTTTTAAAAGCAGGCATCGGAGTTTAGAAGGTCGGCAAGGATAGGATTACCGCGGTACAATAGCAAAGAAATGAGAATGACGCAGAACCTCAATCCTTCGTTAGCATCCTAGCATTAGTTTAGCAACTCATTTGCGTACAAAGAGCGTCGAGGTCTCTAAACTTAGGATTAAGCATGAGAGCTTTTCCACAAACTGACAGATCATATACGATCGGATCCCCAGAGGCATATAAGAGCTGCGTACCGGGTAACATTTGCACATAAATTGCACGTCGCACACTTGCGAAAATGAATTGGGGACAGCTCTCTAATCCTTGTAACCAATATCAATCAAGGTCTGCACTGCTGAGCACACATGAACAATTGACATATAATTTCTAATGTTTGTACTTGTGTATAAAACTTTATAACTATTATAATATCATTATAATGGCGACACACACACTCGCAGCGACGTTAGGTTCTTATGAATGGAAAGTTTGATTACTAACAGTGACACAACAGTGGAACTGTAAATTGAGAGGTATGCAAGGTAACCTGAATTAGAGTCGCTGTTGCTCATCAGGTCTATGTACCCCAGGAAGCTCATCGGAGGCTCCCTGGTAACTATCTGCATATGGTTATGAAAGTTAGGTGTTAGGTTAGAGGAGTTAGGCCGTAGGTGACTCTCTAAGACTGCGTTTACTACACGTTAGAGTCACTTAGTGGAAGGTAGGCGACGGTACGGAGCTCCTGCAGATAGTAGCCCCAGGGTATCGTTCCGAGCATATCGCAACCGTACCCAGGGTACCTCGGCGATAGGTACCCAGCGGCCTGGGACATATTGACCCTCTCAGCGGTAGTACTGAGTACTAACTAAGCTACATACTAGTAGTAGTAGCTAAGTAACTACTATAAATGTTTCAGTGAATTGTGCGCTCATCTATTATTTTCAGTTTTTACTGACTCTGTTCCAAGCTCCCAAGTGCCAGTGTTCTTCATGATCACCTAACATATACACATGACTACGCGTCTAACACAACATATACTAGTTACGAGCTATAATAATTATGCTGAAGAACGTGAACATACAATGTAGACAACTCTGGCTAAAATTAATAACAAAACAAGGAGGTTACCTTGACGACTTGAGAAGTTCTATCGTGGTTCTATTCTTGCTTTTGTCGTCTTTCTTTCGTTCGTAAAACGTACACAAGGCGCGCTGAAGTAAAAGAGCATACCTGTCTAATGATGCGGTAATGACAATGACAAGGCATAGGATACTAATCTGGTTAAATTCTGCTTTTAAATAAGTGGCACGCAGATGATTATACTTCAATATTATTGTCACGCTGCGGATACCACAAGCAATTTACAAGAGAATCAGACTTCAATGCTCTGAAGCGCCATAAGTACCAATATCTCCCCTACGTAAATAAGCGTGACAGGCACACCAATGACTGAAAAATCTCACAAACCTAGATCAGCCCGTAAATACAAAATTAACAAAATTAGCGCCATACAATAATGTCAACAATCACATTACAATTACAGTAACACATTACAACATTCAACCTCTTCATAAATATACTAGGGCCTGTGGCACTGCTCCCTCATAGTACATTGCTACACTAACCT